ATTCCTGCTATCTCAGCATCAGTAAACTTGATACAGAGCTACACTTGTGTCAGATACTGAGGGGACCTGAAGGGCAGGGAAGGTGTCCTCCGGTTTGACTTGCAGGGGAAGCTCAAGACATCAGTTGCTGTATGTGACAGCACTGATAAGCAGGAAGGGAAAGTGGGAAAGGGCAGCAACAAAGGAGGCACTGAGACATAAAGCTGTAGTGAGAGCATCGAGTTTCCCTTTTGCCAGAGCAGGGAGAGCAGGTGTCTACTGATTATGCAGAACAGGAAAAGGGTTCCTCTCTTTCCTCCTGGTACTGTAATTAATAGGGGGAAGTCCTTTGCCCCAAATAACCCTCCAACAGTGAATGACTCCACGTCTCTTCTGAGCTGTCTCTGTCCTCAGGCAGAAGTTCTGGCTGTTCGGGGTTACCTTCCTGAGCAGGGTGTCTGAGCTATACCCCGAGCTCCCCTGGAGCATCAAACACGCTCTCTTTTCCTGGGGCTTAGCTTTCAGCCATACAGAGTGGGTCAGGGAAGCCAAAACAGATGGGAAGAGTTCACCTCCTACGTTTGAAAATGGGTAAAAAGATGCTATAGAAATGTGAACTATAAACTAATCTTTATTCCTAAGTGACTCTGACTGAATGGTTGAAAAGGGAAATAGGCTGCAGACCTTGTTTATGTGTTCTTGGCATTTCTTACTGCTCTGAGTACAGATACAATCTAGGATGAAGAGAATGCCTTTTATGTGACAAAATCTCACTGCAGGCATGAAGACACTCACCATTTTATTGAAGTGGTACTTGCAGTAGCCACAATATTTGACATTGTCGACTTCTAGGACCTCCTCTTCACATAAGAGGCCAGCCATCTGGGCACTGAAATACATGAAAGCAGGTGGGGGATAGAGCAAATTGTACAGCCAGACCACAGATCCCATCAGAGGGCAAAGAACAGTTCAGGATACCCAGACAGGGTCTTGAAGATTCCTGTTCTGCTTGGCAAATGGTATGCAAGGGAGGGGGGGTTTTTTGAGAAGTTCAGACTAGTTTTAATTCATATTAAGATCTTCAAACTCGTCAGTACTTTTCTACCAGATTTGTCTTGCAGTTTTTGTTTTGCTTAAGGAAGGCTTGGGAAACCAGTAACAATTCCAACAAAAGACACATCATGAGCAAGGAATCCATGTAAAGGAATCCCCGTGTTCTCCTGAGAGGCAATGTTGTTTTCAGGCTGCAAGGGTACATGAAAATACCAGCCCTTGAAATCACACCATCTAGATGATACTCTCGCATGTGCTCTGCTGGAGAAGGAACATTCCTGGGTTGTGACTCATCTCTTCCCTTCTTGGATTCCACATGGTCTTAGGGAAATCCCCAGCCTTCATTCTCCGGAAGGCTCACTGGTGTAGCCTCTGTTTCCCCTCCCAGACTCCGTATGGACAAGATACCCTCCCACAAAACAAAGCCCAGAGGATCAGCCCATCTCCCCACACCACCCCTGCATCGTGGCCTCCAAGCCATAGCAGCAAAACCAATAGTGGGGCTATTCTTGGGGTGCTGCTGTGGGGAACTCACCAGGTGACATGGAAAGCTTGCCGGCAGCCGTGCCGGTTACAGGCCATGCATGCTCCAGAGGCTGCTTTGCTCTCCCTGCCCTGCTCTTCACAGATGTAGCAGGTCTGCAGAGAAAAGGAAACGTCTTCATTTAGGCAGATAAAATGTCTCCTTCACTCTTGCTGTTCACCAGGAGGCAAAGCCTTGAAGAAGTCCTAACTCTGTGTCCAGTCATCTCCCTCCTAGGACGGCAGCTCTGGGTTATTTCCCAGGGGCATGCACAAAACTCACATCTTTTTCTCCCCCAGTAACAACTGCGTCAGATCAAAAGGTGGAGTAACCAACATGCAACTCCAAGGTGGAGATTGCTCAAGTTGTAGGGAGTTGGGGAAGAGAGAAATGGAGGACCCAAGAGTTATTTTTCAACAATGGGGATTTGCTGTGTTATTTTGAAAGGGATCTGAGTACCTGGAAATTAGAACAAATTGGACAGGAGATGTGGTAGAATAAGATGACTCCCAAAAGCTAAGGGAGGGCAAATACACTTGGAGCAGCAGGAGAAAGAGGTGGCCTTACCTTGTTGAAGCGGTCATGGGGCACGTACTGCAGGACAATTGGCTCCATGGTGAGCACGTTGGCAAACTGCACCTCCGGGATGTACAAAGCACAGACAACATGGGCCCACCCTGGGGAAACAAGTGAGACAGAGAGCAGAGATTCACATGGAGCAACCCAGGAGAGGCATAAATCCAGACAGGCCTGCAGACAAGCACGGGAGGGAGAGAAGGGAGTATAGGAAGGGAGCCAACTTAAGTTAGATGTTAGATTTGAAATACTGCTTGTTGTAACTTGGTTAGGAATCAAATTCTTTGTGGGTGAAAGATAGACGGATACCACCTCCAGATTAAATAAGAATACAGAGATTTCTTTGGGAATAGAAATGTACAGCGCTCATCGTTCTGAAAAGCATCCCCTCAGCACTTGAACCCAAAGCTGAAGACCTGACCAAACCCAGGAGAAGCATCTAAGCAGCAAATTATGTCGATGAGGCAGGTTTGACGTGTAGCCCCACACCACTGGAAACAAAGCTGCCTTTATTGGCTTTTATCAATGGCTGAGGAAGGCTCTTTTTCAGCAAGCCAAAGCAAGTTAAAATCTAAATCCACCAAGACACTTCACAAATCAGATGTGTAAGTTGAAATTCCATCTGGTCAGGTCAGAATGGAGCAAGTTCGAAGGTCAGGAGCCTTTGGGGGCTAATCCATACTGGTATGGCTACTGCACTGGAAGGATTTGGTTAGAATAAGGATGGATTCATCTGGGCAGGCAGAACCAGACTCTGTGATTACAGAATCACACAGCAGCATAAGTACTTGGGCTGTATAATTCTGTAAAGTGACATGATTCTAACACTTCTTGTGCCTGCCTATACTGACCTGACCAAACCATGTAATAACATGTTTGGAAGAAGATGCTGTGTTACTATAAAACAATCCCCCAGCACAATAGTTGTGCTATTGCACCAATTACAACCATTTCTAGAAGATGCTTCTACAAAATAGCCTGGACTTGGTGCTTCTTCTCTAAATGGGGGATCAGAAGAAAGACCTCCTTGTCTAATTTAACTCTTTGTGTATTAAGGTAGGCAGGTAGGTACAGAAGCCTTTCTGAAGAACAGGGGTTTGAGAGAAATTAGATGTGATCTATACAGCCAGTAGCATCAATAGTTACAAGCTCTGACAACGGAAATCACACTCCACAGTACTCAGCACCAGAGATAAGAAGCATCAATGATAAGTAGATAAATTCTGCAGAGAAAAACATCTTTACTCTGCCCCTTCAATGGGGACTCCAGGCTGCAGCTCTGTTAACTCTGGGGCAGCCCCAGAGGCTCTGTGTGACATACCCAGCTCCACGCACACGTACTCACCTCCGTTGTCCGTCCGTTTCAGGGCTCCATCTTTGTGGGGACACAGTTCACATCTCTTGAAATTAAGCAGAAACAACAAGTTTAATCTAAGTCCCAGGGATGTGGGGCCAGAAAAGATGATTCATTTACAACATGGTTATGAAAGATGGGGCTGCTTTCAAAGAGAGGAAGTGGAAGAAGGGCTGAGGGTGGTTTGGGTGCAAAAAGATACTCTGACACAGCTCGATATCGTCCTGTCTGACAGGGATGTACTTATCGCCTCAGCCCAAAAGCCACAGGGCATCAAGTGAACCTTGACTTTCACGGGGCTTTTTAGAACAAAAATGGGTTTAGGCTTTGTGGTTGGGGGTAAAACTGAAAGCCAGGACTCGGAGAGAAGGCAAACAGAAAGAAACTATCACCTGTCTTTGCCTCTTTCCTTCCTTCTCTCTCGAGATATTTTTGGGGAGAACCATGAAGAACATGTCCCTCCA